TTACCGTTGTAAAGATTAAAAGTCTCAGAAACCCAAAGGGATAGTTCTACTCCGTCTTATAGGGTGCCATGACTCAGAATCGACTTGATGGAGTGAGTGAGTGAGTGAACCCTTATGAAATTTTATTAAAGCTTAGGACTAGAGGGTGGGTGAGGGAAAAAACTGAGGAGCTGATATCAAGGGCTCAAGTAGAAATAAAATGGTTTGAAAATGATGGTGGCAACATATGTACAAATATACTTGATACAACTGATATATGTATGGATTGTGATAATAGCTGTAAGAGTCCCCAATAAAATGATTTTTTTGCAAAAGAAAAAAAAAAAAGCTTAGGACTAAACGAAGGAAGAATTGCATAAACAAATCATCAGCCCGGCCTGAGTACAAGGCCCGAGCTCAGCTTCACAAGCCATGCCCCTGCTTCACTTTAGCAGAGAGCATCTTCTGATTCACCGGAGACTCTTCTGAGTGCTGGCCCCCAAATGCGAGGCCCACACACAGAGGAGAGCTTTTCCTGGAGATCCCTTACCTCTCATTTGCATCGAGACTGCCTCCCAAGTTAGCAGTTCATCCATTTAGGTCTTCCTCCCAGAGTGTTGAGCCATGGAAAAGTTATCCTCTTTAACCTCTGGCCCATCTCTCACCTTGAGTCCTGTCTTTGCTGTCTCCAAGCCGCTTGCAGGAAATCTATCTCATGTTTATCAAAAACCCTAACATAACTGAGCCAGGTTCCCTCTTTAGACCCAGCAACCCTCTTGCCTCAGCTCCTAGACTCGCTGGAACTTAGTGGTCACTCCTGCCCCCAGGCAGTCGAGGAACTAACACCGCCCTGACCCAGACTCACTGATCAACCTTATCCTAACCCAGATCTAACTTTGTTTATTGATGGCAGTTCTGTCGTAAATGCCCAGGGGCAATGGCAGGCTGCATATACTGTCCTCTCACTTGACCAAGTCTGGAAAGCTGCATGCCTCCCAATAAAAACTACTTCTCAAAAAGCGAAACTTGTTGCTCTCACTTGAGCTCCCCATCTAGCGAAAGGAAAAAACGGCTAATATATATTCTGATTCTAATTATGCATTCCTTATAGTTCACTGTCATGCCACTATCTGGAAGGAGTGGGGATCGTCTGACTACCAAAGGGTCCCCCATAGTAACCGGTAAATTAATAGATAATCTCTTACAGGCTCTTCAGCTGCCAGCAAAAGTAGCCATCATCCATTGCAAAGAACATCAAACTGATATAAAAGAGGAACATGCATGTTTCTAAATGAAGAATTAGGCATAGTTAAACAAAATGTTAAGGCACCCACACCATGGCCAATAAAATCAAGAAATGTCACTGGAGCACCACCAGCTTCTCATGGTTTCAAAATTCTGCCATGGCCTGGATTATGCCCCTCATCTGGCCTCTGATAATAATCTGTGTACTTTTGCTTTTAGCTCTTTGTGTGTTTAGATTCTTGCATGAACGGATGAAAGATATCTCCAACCTGCCCTTCAATCAGTCCCTTCACCCTTACAGTCCCCTGCTGACTGGCCTGGCCCCCAAACCTTCCAACTCCTAATCCCCGCCTTCTTCACCCTATCTCAGCAGGAAGTAGTTAATACAGAAAACGTCGCCCCATTACCAATATTAAGAAACTTGGAATGTTTGGGCTGGGTCCGAATTAGGCAGCCCCCGTTTGGACTAAGCTGAAGCAGGTCTGGGCCCTGCACGTGCTTCCCTGCACATCCCAAAGGTCAGCAGCAGCCGGCGCCAGATAAGATAACCAGTGAAACCAGATGTTCTGGTTCAAAGAAAGCCTCCAGGAGTCGACAAGCAATTCTCAGAGTTTCCAGACCCCATATGCTGATTGCCATAATTACCATACATTCCTCATCACCCCTTTAAAAACCTTCGCCCCCAGTTGCTGAGCAGGACTTCCCTGACCTGTTGGCCTAGGTCACTCGTCCAGGAGCTCCCCCCGCCCCCCCCCTCCTAATACAGCTAATTCTGTTTCTGCTCCCCCTTGTCCTGTCAGTTATGTCTGTCTTCCTCCCTGTTCCTCAGTTCTGCTTTACATAAACGATAACATGAAAGGCCATCTTTTATTTCCAACATTTCTCAAAGTAAGAGGATGCTTTAAAAAAAAGTATGGACAAATCCCATTAGCTTTCAATTTCATTTTTTTTCATCCCCCCACTTTTTTTTTTGCAGTCCCCATGTATAGGCCCCAACCCATATCTGCTTCATCCTCTGATGCTTTGTTTTTGAAATTCTGAAATGTCAAACCCTGAAGGGAAATTAATCTTGGAAGAAAAATAGGACAAGTGTCTACAACCCACTCTCCCAGGGTAGCTTAGGGGTTCCTGAAAGAGCTGGTATTAAGGTTGTAGAGTCAAGCTAATTTCTTCCTGTTCTGTGGCCCAGTTTTTCACCGAAGCTAGAAAAAACGGTCACTCCCCTCGAGGGAATTTCTGCCCCAGCTAGCAAAACAGCATGGGGATGTGGTGCTTTCTACTACGGAGAACGTCTTGCATGAGAGAGGATCAGAGCCCTCAGCTACTATCTTTTCCTGCTGAAAGGGCACATGTTCTTCCCGAGGCCAGAGAATGAGTGGCTGATGGTGGGTCAGACACTGCTTTACTGACCTGCCACCTGCCTTCTGGTCTGGTGCACAGTGAAGCGTGTGGGAAAAAGTGTTTCTCATAGTGTGAACAGAAGGCTGAGAATGTTGGGTGTGTCTGTGGAGGATTTTAGGGAGCCAGTGAATATTGCCTGAAAGAATTCTCCTTGAATCCTTCTGACAACATTAACAAAAGAGAGTCTTAGAGCTGGGAAGTGCATTCTTTCAGACTTACTAACATTTCAGTTTCTCTCCTTTCACCCGAGACAACAGCCTCAGGGCGAGTCTTGAGTGGAAAAGGGATAGAATCGAATAACATCAGCTTGCATCCATTGCATTTAGCTTCACTCCTGTTTCTTAAGTGGCACCGGTGTTCTTTGAAAGATGGTGTTATGCAGTTTCATTTTCAAAGAGCTACTTGAGCTCAGTGAATAAATACATATTTGGTAAATTACAAAACTACTGGTAAGCAGATAGTGTCAAAATTGGCAAGGGAGGAAGCAAAGGATTGGCGTTTGGGGAACTTGGTTCCCTGCTACAGCTTTTCAGGTTTGCGTTCACATATTGGACCCCACACAGCATCTGCATTTGACATAAAATCCTTCCTGAAGTGGCAAAAATCAATGAGGCGCTTCGAATCCTTGTAGCTGATGAGAAACCTATGAGATTGTTCTTCCACATCCGGAGGAAAGCCTGGCTCACCAACAGAACTAGCCCTTTCCACAGTAGGGTGTCTTTCGTGCACTCCTCCCCATAAAGCTAACAAAACATTGATCTTGAACCTGGGAGAACATTAACCAACTAAGCAGTTGGCTTGAGCCCCAGGGAGCAAACCCAACCCTGCTACTCCCCAGGAAATCGTTTCTCTTCTGAGTTCCTGCTACTTGAATGGAAGGGCTCCCAAGTCGTTATTCACTAATGGTTGCAGACCCACGCCTCCAGGCTTTGGACCAGTGAGTGGGGGTGGCAACAGGAGCCAAGGGCTGGCTTAAACACTTCCTGCTGCC